AGACGCGTTTAAAATGATGACACTTTTAACTGCGCAATGGTATAGGATTTGGGGCAGGAGGAGCCTTTGCCCCTTCAATAAAATAACTTTGCTTTGTTGCAACTTATTTTATTGATATTTAATACACTTAAAAAAAAAACTAAATTGTTCGTGGTTGAGTTCCTCACTAAATTATTTATTTCCGACGTTACTGTTACTGGATGATCTGTTGTTCTCAGTTTAGAATTTACACGTGGAAATAAACATTTTTCTCACGCTCCAATGAAAAAAAAAAAAGACAAACAAAAAGCCAGCAATTAATACAGTATATCACATCGATTATGGACCAGTATAGAGTATTCACTTCAGCTATTCAAAATATTTTAACTTAATATTACAAGGTAAAATCTATTGTGACGGTATTCTTGTTAAACTGATATTTTTACTATTACAATGTAAAATCTATTGTGACGGTACTCTTGTTAAACTGATATTTTTAATATTACAAGGTAAAATCTATTGTGACGGTATTCTTGTTAAACTGATATCTTTAATATTACAAGATAAAATCTATTGTGACGGTATTCTTGTTAAACTGATATTTTTAATATTACAAGATAAAATCTATTGTAACGGTATTCTTGTTAAACTGATATTTTTAATATTACAAGATAAAATCTATTGTGACGGTATTCTTGTTAAACTGATATTTTTAATATTACAAGATAAAATCTATTGTGACGGTATTCTTGTTAAACTGATATTTTTAATATTACAAGATAAAATCTATTGTGACGGTATTCTTGTTAAACTGATATTTTTCCGATTTTGTTTTGTAAATGGGCGGTAACTTTCAGATACGTTACTCAAAGTTCCATTCCTTTCCTTACTGTTTTGCATATGTTGTATAATTAGCATAATAGTAGTATACTAAATGATAAATATTTCATCTAATGTTCGATAGATGTGCGTATATTACTCGACTATTAGTTACATATATCCACATCGCTTTCCCGTGTATGCCACACAAATGTTTGATACCTTAACACGCGTAAGACCGATAGGTGAATCAGTTTCCCTTTTCTGTTGTTGTTATAATGAGTGAGTAATGTGTGAAAGAATCCAGGTCACAACCATGTATACTATATATAATAGCTCTCTAATGCTGTTAGATTACTAAAGTTTTTCATGTATTTAATTTCCGTTTTTGTTGTTGTTGTAATGAGTGAAAGAATCTAGGTCACAACCATGTGTACTATATATATTAGCTCTCAAATGCTCTTAGATTACCAAAGTTGTTCATGTCTTTACACTGCTGGCTAAAATAGTTTATATTGTAGGGTACATTTTAAAATTAAAATACAAAGTATTTCTTATAAATGGGGTGAAATCAGGTCAAAAGAAATAACCAGATAGCGTTATTATCAATTCACGTGACAAATATTTTAGAAATGAACTCTGTTTTTTACAACCTAAGTCACAACCATGTGTACTATATATAATAGCTCTCTAATGCTGTTAGATTACTAAAGTTTTTCATGTCTTTAATTTCCCTTTTTTTGTTGTTGTTGTAATGAGTAAGTAATGTGTGAAAGAATCTAGGTCACAACCATGTATACTATATATATATTAGCTCTCTAATGTTAGTTTCTTGTACTTTCTGAAGGCTTATAACGCTAAAAACTGGGTTTCGATACCTGTGGTGGGCACAGCAGAGATAGCTCATTGTATAGCTTTGTGCTTAACAACAGCAGAAAAACATTTACTTCTCAGGAACGCTATTTTAGTAAACTCAAGCCATGCTGCTAAATGATATTTCTATTGTAAACCAAGCATATCATAATATTAGCATGACCGAATGCCACGTGTTTGAAATTGTGTATCTGAATTACAAACATATATGATATGACGTGAAGTTCAATTAATTGCAGTTAAAACTTTATTTGTTTTAGAAACCACAGCACTCATGAATTCATCTAAAATAAGCATAAACTTAGTAATTAATTAATCGTGCGTGTTTGGGAAAGAGATCTTTGAAAATAAGCGTAGATTTTCAAAACAAATATAAGTTTATTCTGTTATAACTGACTAAGTGGAAGTATATTTGTGTGTGTGTGTGACTATCTAGGTTACAAGATGCGTTGAACCATAACCAAAACCTTATCTAGCTTGGATAAGCTTTATCAGCGTGACTATTTGGGTTACGAGACACGTTTAGCCATTAGCAACGCCTTTTCTAACTAGGAAAAGCTTTATCAGCGTGACTATTTGGGTTAAAATACGGGTTTAGTCAATGTAAGTACATTTTCTATCTTGGATTAAGTGTTCATAGCATAAATACCTAGGTTAAAAGACAAGGTTAATTAAATAAAAAGTATTGTTGGATCAACAAACAAAATAATATTTCTTAGCGAGCCTAAATGTCACAGCTTGATTTAAAATACTGATATTTCATGAGTTATTCCTTTTAATTCGTAGTTATTAAAACGATTATGATGTCTTAATTTATAAAGGCAGTTTAGAAATTAAGATCTTGTTACACGAATATCCGTAAGATCGTCATAGTAATTACTAGTATTACATTTAGGCTATAATCGTACCGTTATTTACTTCCATGAAGTCCAGCTCGTTCAATGAAGTGTCCATTGGGCAATTCTGGAGTGACAGAAAAAAAAAATTGTGATTAATCAAACAGGTTTTCATTTGTTAAAAGTATATTCAAGTCTCAACTTATTATTAAAAAAAGGTGATTAGGCGATAACAGGTTCTATACATTAAAACACACAAGAAATACAAGTTGGCATCAGATATGCGTGAGGTCTGTAGAACAACAACTTTGTTTTTTGATGGATCAGATATGCGTGAGGTCTGTAGAACAACAACTTTGTTTTTTGATGGATGAGATTTGCGTGAGGTCTGTACAACAAACACTTTGTTTTTTGATGGAATAGACTGGTAACTATTACAGCATTTCTAAAGTGTTTAAAATAACAACTTATAACTCCTGAGATAAAGTATAGTCGCGAGTATTTCTTACGAATAAATATTACTCAAATAAACTGAATCCCGTAACATATACTACAGTAATGTTGCCCAGAGGAACTGAATCCCGAAACATATAATATTACTCTGATCAACTGAATCCCATAACTTCTAGCACATTAAGATTACTTAGAGTAATTCAATCCCCTAACATACAGTACAGCTATATTAATCTGATCAACTGAATCCTGTAACATATGACACAGTAATAGTACTGTGATTAATTGAATCTTGTAATATTACTATGATCAATTGAATACCGTAACATGTAGCACAGTAATATTAGTCTGATCAACTGAATCCCGTGACTTCTAGCACATTAAGATTACTTAGAGTAATTCAATCCCCTAACACATAGTACAGCTATATTACTCTGATCAACTGAATCCTGTAACATATAACACAGTAATATTACACCGATCAATTGAATCCTGTAACATATAACACAGTAATATTACTCTGATCAATTAAATCCTGTAACATATAACACAGTAATATTACTCTGATCAACTGAATCCCGTAACATATAACACAGTAATATTACTATGATCAATTAAATCCTGTAACATATAACACAGTAATATTACTCTGATCAATTAAATTCTGTAACATATATCACAGTAATATTACTCTGATTAATTAAATCCTGTAACATATATCACAGTAATATACAAACACACATACAAACAAAGAATAACAAATTATTGAGTACGGTAATGAAGTGATAAGATTTTCACTTTCAGGTACGTTCCTCCAAATTTTGTAGAGAAACGAAAATAATGTTGAAAGACTTGAACTATCTTTCGATTTGTTACACTTAGAACCATGCAACATTACTTCGATAACTAGACAAGGCAAGACATCTATAACCCTATTTTAATGCGGTGAAATTAATAATTCAGTAGCAATCTTTCTAATGTGTACTCTCACGGGAAGTCAAAAACGACAAAATAGTTCATTATCCTTTCTCTGTCACTGGCAGTGTGTAAATTAATTACCTGTAAACCTTGCCAACTGTAACGTCCTACTTAGGGGAAGTAATATTTCATCATCCTCTCTCTGTCACTGGCGGTAAGTAAATTAATTACCTGTAAACCTTTGCCAACTGTAACGTCCTACTTAGGGGAAGTAATATTTCATCATCCTCTCTCTGTCACTGGCAGTGTGTAAATTAATTACCTGTAAGACTTACCGACTGTAACGTCCTACTTAGGGGAAGTAACACTGTTCCTCATCCTCTCTCTGTCACTGGCAGTGTGTAAATTAATTACCTGTAAGACTTACCGACTGTAACGTCCTACTTAGGGGAAGTAACACTGTTCCTC